GGCTCTTCCTTCTCCTGTGTCAGAAATTGATTATTCTGGCATCTTCCTTCCCGGACATTTTCAGTTCCCCTGACCTCCCAGCCCCTCGAAGCCATTTTGTGTCTCCTGATACTGAGTAATTCCATTTATTGAAACATGTGGAGCCTCCTTACTGGCAAGTGTTGGTAAAAATAGTTCTGCAGCCCCAAGGGACAGGGGCATTTGAACTTGGTGACTTGAAAAACGTTTGGTGTGAATAATGAAAAGTGCAGGACCCTGCTGATGAATTTCCCTCACCCTCTTTGTTCCTTGTTTTTTGGGTTTTTTTGGGTGGGGGTGCGGCAAAATATTTAACCCGTATTTTCCAAGAACTCTGTAGGTAGGTTTCTGGGGACAATTGATTTTGGGGGAAGTATTGTTCCTCTGGATGTGGAACCCATGAAGCAAAGAATAACATTGAGCAAGAGTCCTCCTGATGACCAGGCCTGGGCTGATTATGGTGTGTTTGGGTCACCTGTGGTAGGAGGTATCCTGCTGCTGCCTGAGCTGCACTTTAACCCCAGAACCCTTGTTCTAGCCAGATGTCAATGGGTCATCTAACTTCTAAGGCTGCAACTGGTTCAAACTGGCAGCCAGAAGAGACATAGGTCTCTGTGTGAGGAATATGGAGTTCTGGTCTCCTCCTGCCCCTGGTTTGCTGTGTAACCTTGGGTAAGTCTCCTGTCCTCTCTCTGTGATGAGTTTGGGCTGGGTGATCCCGGAGGGATGAGATGGTGGCCAGAGGGAGGGTGCAGGCCTGAATAAGCACCCCCCCCCAGCACCCAGCTAGCTACTGTGTTGTGTGGCATCATGGCTGCAGAGTTAGTTTTTGGACTATGTACTGTAATGAAATTTCCTGAATTTTAGATGGGGACAACAAATTCAGAAATACAACATTCCCTGCGTGAAACCCGTAGCCAGACAGAGCCCATAGGTCCTCATTTACAGCTCAGTGAGAGGGCATTGTCCTTTACGTGTTACCACAGGCGGGGACCCTGGAGGTGACGGAAGCTCCTTCCAGTTATTTTGTCTTGAAATCAGTATAAGTATTTTCAGGGAGCTGGGGGAGCAAAGCTAGACTGGAAGCTGAATCACAAGATTGCTGTGGCCTAGAGCCCCGGAGAGAGGGTATGGCCTTCCTTTCGTCGTGGGCTGGGCGGAAATGTCGGCCTGAGGCAGTGGGCTGGGTCAGCTGATCTCTGTGGAATTCACACACCTCCCCCACGCCCCCCCTCCCCCCCCCCCCCCACCACCCCCACCCCCCACCACCCCCTCACCCTCCCCACCACCCCGCTCAAGCCAGCAGCCCTGGGTCTGCTGGCTTCATGGACTGCAGAGCATTCTGAGCTGCAGACCATCGAATATTTCAATATACTCATTCTTCACTGAACAATATCTCTTACAGGTCTTTTGTGGGTGTGTACCTATGTGTGTGTGTGTGCGTACACACACCACACACCCTTTGTTCTTTTTTAACTGCTGCATCGTATTCCATAGTTTTTTTCCAGCTGTTCTGTGGGCATTTTACTTTTATCCTCTTCTCCCTTTTATCTCTATTTCCCATGATTTCATCTCATAGACATTTTCTTTTTAACCCTACACTTCACACCTTCCTTTTCCCTTCCCTCTCTCCCTTCTTCCTTTTCTCTTTTCCTTGCTTCTATCCACCTGTGGATCCATTCATCAAACCTGCTGGGCCTACAGGTGCCAGGTATAGGGGCAGATCCCTGAGGCCTGGCCTTCAGGAGCTCCAATCCAATGGGAAGTCAGAGAAGAAACACTTCACGGTGAATCCCCAGAAGCAAGTTCTTCAATACTTTTTGTTTTTGTTTTTGCCTTTTTTTTTTTTTTTTAAGATTTCATTTATTTGAGAGACAGAGATCACAAGTAGGGAGAGAGGCAGGCAGAGAGAGAGAGGAGGAAGCAGGCTCCCCGCTGAGCAGAAAGCCCGATGCAGGGCTTGATCCCAGGACCCTGGGATCATGACCTGAGCCGAAGGCAGAGGCTTTAACCCACTGAGCTACCCAGATGCCCTGTAATGTTCCTGTTTCTAAGACGAGGGCCCTGAAGTTCAGGGAGGTGTAAATCCTGAGGCCGAGCCTCAGGCCTGGGTCTGCGATGTCCAACACCTCACCCTCTGCTCCTCCGATGCTGTTCTATTTGAGCCATAAGCTGAGGCCGGGTGCTGTGCCTAATTGTGTTTCTTCTGGTCTGCTGCTTATGGTGCGTAAACTGTCTCCAGATGCAGACGCTGTGCTGGGAAGAGGTGCGTGAGGGAAGATACCCTGGGTTGTCGTGCTGAGCTGTGGGCAAGGGGCCCGAGTGTTAGGAGTAACACTGTTCTGGATCCGGATGTGCTCCCCGCCTCTTAACTGCTGTGGGATCTGCGTTCAGTAACCAGCCTCTCAGAGCCACAGGTTCCATATTTGTAGGATGGAGCTAGTACCCTTATTTGGAGGGGACACTGAGGGTTTGAGATGTTTAAAGAGAAAACACAAAGCATGCTGACTGACGTGTAGTTGGCCAGCAGCGCGGGGTGGCTATTGTGTTGTCACATTTTAGTTCATAGTGTTGTATCTAAATGTTACTTCTTTGTTTGCCTTGTCTTTGTCCTTCCTGAGGGAGAAGACCAGGCCTTATTCATCTTGGCATCCCATGGAATCCAATGGGGGGCTCGATCCCAGCACCCTGGGATTGCGACCTGAGCCAAAGGCAGAGGCTTAGCAGACTGAGCCTCCCAGGCACCCCGCATCCCCACCTCTAACAAACCCAGTTCTTGGTACATGGTGGTTGTATGCCCACTTCAGGGTACACGCGAGAATGGATGCAAAACCAGGCATGGGCCAGGGGTCTGTTGGGGCCATTTCTGGCCAGTTGTGGAGGGACATGTTTCCTGGAGTCTTATCCCGGCTTGTCAGATCCAGGCCAGGACAACGGTCTGGTGGTTCCATTGTTCCCAGATAACATTTCCTATCTTAACGTCTCCCTGGAGCCGCCCTGGGCCCCACCCCGCCCTCCTGGCCTATCACTGATCCCCACTTGGACCCTGACAGGTTCCATTCCAGCCTGCCAGGAGCAAAGCTTTCATGTGGTCAGCACCACTCCTTGTCTCCTCCCCACCCTCCATTACAACAGTTGTGAAAGGAGGCATTTCTCTCTCTGGAACTTTCCACATTGCAGGGAGGACCTAGGAAATGTGAAATAAAGTTCTTTACCAGAGCTTGACCCTTCATGGTGTGACCTGTGTCTTCCTGCTTACACCTCACAGACACCTTGTCTGATGGGCAGATCAGTTCTTATCCCTGGCCTGCCGTGGACAAAGTTGAAGACAAAAGGCATGGGATCCCCAGTAGTATCGGTGGTTAGCGTGAGAGCCTACCCAGTGACCAGGTCTGTGCAACTCACCCACGCTTTTTCCACTGCATGTCCCTACGTGGTTGTTATTTGTTGGTGTTCTATGGCCTGCCTACTTCCAGAAGAGTTTTGACGGCTCTGTCATGGTCATCATGATCCAGGGCACTTTCAAGTTCGCTAGCTCAGTGTGGCATCCCCGGAAAAGGTAAGGCGCCCAGGCATTACCCTGAGCATTCGGAAGCAGAAACCTAGGGAGCCAGGTGCCTTTTGTCTCGGAGATTACCCAACTGAGGGTGGCGGCATTTTCCTGAACGCTGCCATGTTTCCCTTCCTTGTTCAGATCGGCCCTTAGATCAGTCGCTCTCAGATGGGGTGTAACGTCGGACTCACCTGAGGAAATTAAGAATCTTGTGGCAGGAATGCCCGGCTCCCGCATCCCCCAGCCCCCAAAGATTCTGACTTTGGAGTGAGGCCTGGGCACTGAGGTTACAACATCTCGCCAGGTGATTCTGTGGTGCAGCCGTGCTGAGAGCCCGTCTGACAGCACCTGTTACAGGGATGCTGGGAAGCTGATGAGAAACCAGTAGTCCTCAAAGTCTATTTCAGACAAGAGTTCCAGCCCTTCTTGAGCAAAATCAGGACTTAAGCCTGCTCACCTTTGCTCAGATTCAGGGCAGCTCATGTCTCCAAAGAAAGGGCAATGCTGAAAGAGGAAACAGGGGGAACAAGGACGATGGTAGCAGCCCCCCAAACTGTCATGTGTTGTGCCCCTGTCATGTGCCAGACACTGGTCTGAGCACCTTACATATACCAACTTTATCCAATTCACCGTCCACACGCTAGCACAAAGAACAGGCCTCTGCTGCTGTTACCCATTTCACAGATGAGAACACCGGACTAGATAAGCAACTTGCACAACCTGGCGGTGGCAGAGCTGGAATTTGAAGACAGATTGCTGGCTCTGGAGGCTACTGGTTTAACCACTATGTCTGCTGCTTTGCAGAATGACTTGGGAGTCGTGTATACTGAGTCCCCTGTGGCTGAGGGTCCCTTCATGGTGGTGATCTGTCAGTCTGTTGCTCAGCAGTTTCTGTGACTCCCATCACATCTGTAGAGGAAAGTGAAACTTCTTAACATAGCATGAGGGGTGTCCTTTACCGCCTGGCCCCTGTCCAAGCTTTCACACTCCATGTCACACATGATGTTAAGACATCTGAAAGTCCCCTCGCCTTTCTCTGCCTGGTGACCCCTACTCTTCAATACCTAGCTCAAATAGCCTCTTCTTTATGTTGTGTGGCAAGAGTCTGTGCCTCCTTTCTCTTTATTCCCAAAGCTCTTGGTCCCTCCCTCTATGACCATATGGATCACAGCCTTTCTCTCAGGACCCTAGTGGGTCTTGACTCCTTTAGAACAGGGAGGGGGTCTGCTGTACTCATGTCTGTGTGCCCCTCAGCATCCACGGCTGTCTTCAGTGGATATCAACCTCTAGGTTCTTCTTCATCTCAGCCAGGGAGATAAGTGTTCTTTATCTTCTGACTATCAGAGGATTTTCTGTTTGTAATGGATGATTTTCTTCAAGGTGCCTCGGGCTCCAAATGGCATAATTGATATTTACTGTGTTTTCCTAGGTTGTCAGGCTGTGATTTTAGCAGAGTCCTGAGCTCCTGTGGAGATTTGCCTCTATCCAACCTTGGGCTATCTGTATTCCTGAACATCTCTGGGCCCAGAAGGAAAAGAAGAATGCTGACCAGCTCTGGGGATGGCCTGAATGAGGAGAGGTTGGTGTGTTGCTTAGTGTTCAGCTTGATTCCAGAACGAACCCACCAGGGGCAGGAAGAATGGGGGTTTTTGGCAACCAGAAGTGGAAATATGTTTGTTTCCTCATGTGCTTTTGTGGAAATGGCAGGAGCTGCTCACCGAGGATTAGTAAGGCCCTGTTAGCAGAGTCCCACTGAGGTCTGAGAAGGGTGGGCATGCCAGGAGCCACCAGCTCGGCGATGCTCAGTGTCGAGACTTTGCTGCATAAGGAGAGAAAAAACGGAGTTTCTAAGGCACTGGGTGAATTCTAGGAATTCACCTGCCCAGGTGCAGATGGTGTGAATAGCATCTTCATCTCAATACGGCTGAAGTGGCAAGTGATAAGATGATTTATTTATTTATTGACACCTGAAGCCTCGTTTCTAATCAGATTACTGGATACATAAAGAAGCAGGAGAGTCTGACCCAAACTCCGGGGAAAAGAAAGTCAGCAGTTAACAGAATACAACTGAGCCAGTTGTGATTCACACTTGTGTGATCGATTCGTTTTTATTATCATTAAACAGACTTTATTTTTCAAAGCAGTTTTAGGGTCTGAGAAAAATTGGGTAGAAAATGCAGGGAGCTCTCATATCCACCCTGTCCCCACGGATGCACTATCAGCATCCCACACCAGACTGGGACGCTTGTTACAGCCGACAAATGCACGCTGACACGTCATCATCACGCAGAGTCCATAGTTTATGTTAGGATCCACTCCTGGTGTTGCCCCTTTTCCAACAAATGTGCATCAGGTATCTAGCATTGTAGTATCATATGCAGGCTTCACGGCCCTGAAGAAATTCCTCTGGGTTTCACCTGTCCATGCGTCTTTGTGAGACACCATCCTTAAAGCCCCTCAGTTTGGGATTGGGTCCGTGGAATGGAGCACTATGCAGTTATTAAAAAGAATGAGTGGCTTGATGAAGGAAAATGGAACCATCTTAAAACAATAATCAGTTTCAAAATGCACTCTCAGCCTTACCAATGTTGATGAAGCAAGGAGGGCCTGGAAGAGTGTGGGGTGTGCTAACAGCCACCTCTCCGCAAGGAGCCTCCTGTCCTTCCAGCACCCCCACTTACCATGTTCTGTCGCTCCCACCTCTCCACTGATCTGGGCCTCCCCTCCTCTCTCCCTTGAATTTCTGTGCCCTGCCAGGCTTCCTTGTCGTTCCAGATTGTAGAGACCCAGGGATAGGGAGAGGCTTGCAGTGGACCTTTGAAACGGACAAGTTGGGCACATCTGACCCAACTGATTAATTTAGTCCCAGGAGCCAGGCGACCCAGCAGCTGCACGCTGGTGAGTCAGATCCAATGGGGTCTAAGTCTGAGCTCTTGCTTGGCTGCCTGTGTGACCTTGGCCAGGTTACTTAACCTTGCTGAATCTCAATTTCCTGGTCTGTAAGAGGAGAATAAAAAATGCTTCTCTTGAGGTTGTCTTGAGGAGTGAGTAGCTTTGATAGCTAGCATAAGTGAAAGTGCCCTTTGAGGGGAGACCAGGGGAGAGTGTTTCCCTGTAGGGAGGAAAGTGAGGAGGGCCCCCTATTGTCCTCAGGTGCCCCAGCCTTCCCCGGGAAAATCCCCTCTGCAAGTCAGAGAGGTTAAAATTTGGCTCCTTCCTCTTTTATTCAGCGTACTTCTCTTGGCCGCCTAGGGTTTTCAGCTTAAGCAAATAAATTATCCTGCTCTGCTGGGCTCTGTGTTCTGTAGCCAGCCATATGTTTGAGCTTGATAGAGATTCTTATCGGGTGGGTAATATTACCCAGCGAGGGATGACATTTCTTATCAGAGGCCCTGAGGAATCAGAGATAGGAGCCCTTTCTTTTTACTGGCAGCAGGGCCTCAGTGTGTGGGGCTGGCAGGCAGGGCAGGAGGGGGGTGGCCGGGGGCTCAGGGTGGGCACATTGCTGTGTACCGGGCATCAGCTGGCCCCTGTCTCTTCCGCATGACAACCAGCCACTCCCAACAGCCTGCCTTGTCACTGGAAGTAGACCGTTGGGACATTTTTGCATATGATCGAAGCAGGGCAGGGCAGGCCAAGTGAATGAGGAAGGAAGGAGGGGATGTGAAGATGCTGGAGCAGCTGGGGGTAGAGACAGAGCACTGGCACCTGTGGGGCCTTACCCTTGACGGAGAGCCAGGTGGCCTCCTGCTGCAGAGCCCAGGCCTGGGGCCTCTGCCCCACGGTTCTACAGAGGGGAGGCAGCTCAGGCCCAAGTACCTGCCACAGTCTTGGCTGTGGGAGGGGTGAGGTGCCGCATGAACTCCTTGTCCCCCTCCAGATGCCCCCCACCCATCCTCCACCTTGTCCTGGCACAGAGAGGCTGTCCTATGTGGGTGCAACAGGATGGATGCCACACGGGGTTCCTGGGCCCTGTTTGGGAGGTAGGGTGGGTATTTGGGAGGTAGGGTAGGTGGCTTCTGTTTGGGAGGTAGGGTGGGTGGGCGGGAAGGGAGGAAGGTCAGTGTACTCGTTGGCTGCTCCTGCTGAGTCCCAGATGGATATGGGCAAGGTCTACACCAAAGGCCTTGCATCTGAGTCCTGATTCTGTCCCTTCCCCTGTGTGACATTAGACAAGTCGTTTACCTCTTGCGCCTAGGTTTCTACCCATCACATGAGGTGACACCGCCTCCACTGCGGTCTCTGGCCACTTTGGATCTCCGTGATTTCTGTGTCTCTCTTTTGCCCTGATATCTGGAGGAAGGGGCACTGAGGGGTCCCCGAGGGCCCAAAGCCAGAGCTCACTGCAGATGAAGCTCCAGGGTGGGTAGAGGAGGTCAGAGGTGACCACATGATTTGGGGATTGCAGGCTCTGTTTTGGACACATGCGCAGAGCTCTTTCCCTCCTGATTTTTGGGAAGTCCTGCCCTGTGCAGCCCTGCTCTGCAGTCATAATCTTGCCATCATCAGAAAGGGAAGGAGAAGTGGTTTCTCCCTCTCCCTGGACCTGTTCCAGCTAGCAGTCCTGCCCCTGCTTCACTTCCTTCCTGTTGGCCCCAAGTCCTGCTTTCTTCCGTCTCTCCCCCGCCTCTCCAGTCCCGCCCTCTGGTGAGGCGTGCTGAGGCTCCCTGTCTCTCTCCTCACCTCCTGATAGCAGGTCCGCTTTCTGAAAACACCGCTCAGCCTTTGTCCCTCTCCGATCAAAGACAGTCATTCCTCCTATCACCCATTAAAGCTCCCCTCAGTCTCACCCCACCCTGTGATGCTGTGCTGGTCACCTCTGTGATGATGCCTCTCATGCAGGGTCCATCCCTGTCTTTTGAACCAACCACTATCTTCCTTTGACTTTTGTACCTGATCCTGTCATGTCTCCTCCTGAGGGGACCACAGACAGGGCTGGGCTCCTCCCCTGCTCTACCAGCTCCTTGCTCTGTGACGGTGGGCTAGTCACTAAACCAGACTGAACTTTAGTGTCCTCAACTGTGACATGGGCTGTGAGCTCCAGCACCAGGGTTCTTTGGAGAAGAGTCCCTCTGGGGCTTGCCCAGGGACAGGTGTTTAGTGAGTGAGGGGTCCCCTCTCTCTAACTGGCTGCCCCTCAGCTTACCCAAACCTTGCCTCTGCTCAAATTCCATTCCATCATTCACTTTCCCTCTGGGCTCTTCTGCCTTGAAGTCAACTTCCTCTGTTGGAAGGACTCCATCTTAGTGCCTCCTGTCTGGACAGCCAGAATAGACCTTGTCTCTTTCTGCGTGTGTCTGACTTCCCAGCATGACGTAGATTGCTCTAGGGCATTGGCTACAGTACATCCTGATTCTCAGCTTGGCCATCGATTCAGTGATTGAGCAGTTGACTCCAAGGGAATGGAGGAGAGTCATTTGTTCTTCGGTTGAGTGACATTTGACTGAACGCACATCTTGTAGTAGGTCTGTTCTTGGCACTGGAGTTGGAAGGAGGCGTAAAACGGAGACTGTCCTTATGGAGCCCGTCCTCTAGTAAGAAGGTTGCCTTACCCAAGAGTCTGTGGCAGTCATGGACTACAGACCTGGAGAGACGTTGTCCCTCCCCATGGGCAGCTCAGAACCTGATGTGGGTTGGGGGGTGTGGGAAGAGTTCCATGGCCAAGGAGATGATGCCTCCCTTCAGGTGAATGCCCCCATCCCCCAGATCAGAGCATGGGGTCCCCTCTCGAGATGCCATGAGTAGCCTTGTCAAGATTGAGACTATCCAATCTGCAGATTCTCCTTGTCATGGCCTCCCTTCCTACGATGGAGGGGGAGAGCTCCAAGGTCAGCAGCACTTTGCATCATGGACCTGGCACAGGCCTTGTTAGATGAAGTCCTCCAAGAGGGGTGTTGTAGAAGGTTCCAACCCAAATGATCATGATGTTGCCTTGAGTATTCATGACAGCTTTTCCCTGGCCAGCGCAGTGGGAGGGAGCCAGCAAGCTGACCATCCTGGCTGACTGACTTGGGGTTTCTCTCCTTGTGAGCCTCAAGCATCTGGGGTTTCAGTTGAGTTTATTTTTTATCCACTACCTACTTTCCTACCCAAATAATCCTCATCTCCCCATAGCTCATAGCTAGAGCTTCCAAATTCAACTCCCGGATTCATCCTTGTCCCACTGCAATCCCATCTGCACTTGGCAACCAGCACGATCTTTATAAAATGTGAATCAAATTGTGTCTGCCCCACTGAACATACCAAGGACTTCCCATTTCTGTTCTTGGGATAAAACCCCAAATCCCCCATGGGGCTCTACATGAATTGGCCTGGATTTCTCTCCTTGCTCACTGTTCTTCAGCCACACTGACCTCTGCTGAGTGATACATCCTATTCCTGCCCACCTCAGGGCCTTTGTACATGCTGTGTCTCTGCTTGGAATGCTCATTCCCTCTATTTTTGCATGCTTTCTCACTCTTCACCACTCCTGTTGTTTCCTCCCACTATTCCTTGCTTTTCCTTCCTAGTGTGATCTATCATGATACATTTATTTGTGTTTATTTCACATCTGTCCTCCTTCATGAGACTGTACTCCTG